GAGGGCGTGAGTGGCGGGCCAAGGGCTGAGCCGCAGGGCGAGCGCCGAGAATGCTGACTCAGGCTGGGGAAGTGGGTGGTGGTCCCCCACTGGGTGCGGAGCAGACCACTGAGGCCTAGGGCGGGGGGCGGGGGCCCTGCCCAGGGCAAGGGGGGGCCTGGGTTCCAACCCTCGCCTTTTTGTCTGGACGGAAACTTGCAGCGACCCATGCACTTTCCAGGAAAGTGTTAAAGGTGCTGTGAAGCCTGGAGCTTAAGCTCCCCGCACCCCTAGCCCCCCTCAGTCTGTGTTCTCTGTAGCCTCAGTTTCCCCATCTGTACAGTATTTGCTTCCTAGGGTGGCGTTCACAGTATGTAGACTTTGTGCTTGGGAATGGGGTTGAAAGTGGTGGTGAGAGAACTTTCCATCATTCTTGGAGTAAAATTCAAATTACTCCCAATTCATGGTCTTCCCTTGTCAACCTCTTGGACCTCACCTCTTGCTTACTCTACTCCAGCCACGCCGGCCTCCGCTGCTGTTCCCCAACAGTCCACCCCAGGGCCTTTGCACGTGATGCTCCAGCTGCCCGAACCCCAGGCCTTTGCATGGCCAGCTCCTTTTTTGTCTTTCAAGGCTTTCCCTTACCACCTGGTGTCAAATAGCCATTCAGCCACTCTGTAAGGTCGCAATAATATATTGGTGTGGCTCAGTTGGTTGAGTGTCCACCAGTACACCGAAAGGTTGCGGGTCGGATTCCCAGTCAGGGTACATGCCCCAGTTTCGGCTAGATTTCGGGTAGGGGGCGTGCAGGAGGCAGCTGATCCATCAATTGATTGATGTTTCCTGCTCTCTCTCCCTCTCCCTTCCTCTCTCTCTCAAAATCAATTAAAAAATATTTAAAAACCAAACTAAAACAAAACAAAACTCAAAAAATAACTCCAATCTGAAACTGGAAATTTATCTCGCATTTAGAAATGAATAGATGTACTCATTCATTGTCAGTCCCCTGACCTGCCCCCCCCCCCCC